AATTACTGGGCAGCACTTACACTACATCTAAAGATCTGACAAAAGGTAACATGTGCGTGCAGTGCCATACTGAATGCCTCATGTTTTAGGACAAACCAAAACTGCTGACAAGAAAATGTGAAGATTTACTTTACTATAGGCTGGGTGTACAGGAACAATAAATGAAAAACTACATAATCAATACAAATCTTATGCAGGTAGGAATGTTTCCCATGCCTTTAACCTAAATTATTAGGATCTTTCTTTATACAGCCACCTAAGCCAGCTTCTGCATCCTACTAGACTGCATCCCTGATAAATCTGCATGAAAGTTTGCCTTTGTCAAACTTGCTTTATACTACCTTCATGTCCAATGAACTAAAACATATTAAGTAACTGTAACGTCTACCTTCATTTTGTAAAGCGCTGCGCAAACTGTTGGCGCTATATAAATCCTGTATAATAATAATATTCAAGTCACTGGATAGAAGTTAACCTCCCTAGCGGTCTGATTATGTCAGTATTTCTGTGCTCAAAGCGGTACATTTTTTGCATGGAAATATGTCTTTTTTTATTGTAGGCCTGTAATTTTTAGGAATAATTCACTGAAATCTGTCTGAGCAAGAGTCTACTAAACATCCCGGGTATGATAAAATTTGAAATACGAAATCATAAATTACAAAGGTCTGCGACTAAAAAGCTGTTTGATTATTTTTATCTAATTTCCATGTATTTTGGTGTGCTGAAAACAAATAAAATATTGAAAAAACTCCTAGACGTCATGATTTGCCACAAAATGCAAAATTGTCTTCAAATTTATCAAATTTTTTAATATTATGGGTTTTTAACCAAATTTAAAGTCCAAATTACTATTAATTAATTCACATAAGTGCATTTAAGATATAAAATGCCAAAAAAACCTTAAAGGGGTTGTCCGAGTTATGTAAAAGAAATATAGCACTGTAAATCTGATGGTCAGCAATATATACATAAGCTAAGCAAGTTGTAGGGAAAAAAAATTCTATTTCTCATTTCCCTAGTTCTCTTCTGGCCCTTTGTTGTTATTTGCAGGTAAACAATCTCTGTCCCTCCCCCCCTGCAAAGGGGGTGAATACAAGTGCTGCTCTGAGTGACATGTCTGACTACTGGGATACTCAGCAGCATGCTGTATGTGTAAGCCTCAGCCCTGAGTCTGTGCTTCTAATGGAGAAACTTTGGTACCTTCCCATGAAGTTCTACCACCTCTCCACGTAAAATTGGGATTGATGAAGCAATTCGCAATTGAGGATTCCAAGAGATGGAGAATGCTTCAAATACTTGGTCACCAAGTTTCCAGGCCTGTCAGAGGCAAAATTGAAGGAAGGTGTGTTCATCGTACCAGACATTAGAAGGCTTATAGTTGATCAAGAGTTTGTCAATACCATGATGGATCCTCAAAAAGAAGGGTGGATTGCATTTAAAGAAGTCGTACAGAAATTTTTAGGCAATAACAAAGATCCTCACTACAAAAAGATCGTCGGACGAATGCTGAAAGCATTTCAAGCTTTAGGTTGCCCAATGAGTTTGAAAGTACATTTCCTCCAATCCCACCTTGACTACTTTCCTGAAATTTTGGGAGCTGTGAGTGAGGAACAAGGTGAATGATTCCACCAAGACATTAAAGAGATGGAAAGGAGATACCAGGGAAAATGGAGCATTACAATGATGGCAGACTACTGTTGGAGGCTTCAGAGAGACATTCCAGATGCTACTCACAAACGTAAATGCACCAAGAGGAGCCTCACAGGGAAGAAGAATCGAGTTTAGTGTGTGTAGGTGAGCTCATTTCAGTTCAAAAAAGGATTTGTGAAAAAATTGTAATAAAACTTTAATTTTATAAGTCTATTTCCATTTATTTTGAGGTATTGCCTTATTTAACATAGTTACCTAAATTGTCAGGAAACGTGATGTCCTATGACAAAATGGAGGTCATTTTTGGATTCAGCGCACCAAAAAACAAAGATTACGTGGAATAATCAAAACAGCTCATGAAAAAAATTTTTTTGCAGACCTGTGGATAAAATAAATAATCATAAAAAATAATAATAAATTTAATTCAATAATGTAATCAAACCAAACACACTGAAATTTGAAATAGAGTGCCAAGTTCGCACATCACTGAGCAAAGTTGCAAAATCATTTTCAGACGAATTTCCCCACGAATCATCACTCAATTCTGCAAGTGGTTCTGATTTACTATTTCTGTTCTCTAGCTGGTTTAAAACTGCTTTTGACCTAAAGGGATGCTTTTTGAACGCCATGGACATTTCTCAGTTTCCAGGCAGAAAGAACAGTAAAAAATGCAGGCAGGGCACAGGACAAAGCACTCGGGACAAAATGTATGTGAAATGCTTTGATACAGGAATGTTTTACTATGTGATTTTAGTGTATTTAGCAAATGTCACTTTTTGACATTTTTAAATTTCCCGCCGGTTATGTCCTCCATACGTCCCGACGCTCGCAGGGAACGGAACCCAGAAGACGGATGCTGGCATCGGCTGGAGAAGATGGCAGGGGACGCTGCAGGGGGGACATTGTGGGAGCGAAGGACAAGGCAAGTGCAGAAGGGATCCCGGAGCAACGCTGGAAGGTATTCCCGAGTGTAGTTCGGTGTTACCGCTTGTGGTGCTGAAACTTTACCCCGAGCTACACTCGGGAATACCGCCAGGGAGGTTAAGGTCCAACTCCAGCATAATTATTTCTTTCTTAATATGAATGCCGCAGCCATAGTTTAACAAAATAATCTGACTGCATGAGGCCTCTTTCACAAAGGGCAGAATCTGATTTGCTCAGCAGGGGATCTAACCTCTGATCCCCTGCTCTTTAGAGCAGAATGGGCAGATGACAGGTCCATGTCCAGTCAGTTTATGCAGCACGGACAGAGCCCACTATGGTCTATGTCCGTTTACACCCGACTGCCCTCCAAACCAATCCACCTAGACAAAGGAAGGAAAGGGATTTTTTTTTTTTTTTTCTTAGAAGACTGGAAGGGATTGGAGATAGGCGGGTGCAAACAGACATGTCTGTTTACATCCACCGGTCCATAGGGATACATGGACCATCTGGATCAGGTCCGCTTGAAAAAGTGAACGGAACAGCCGTGTGAAAGGGGCCTTACTCACCTTTTCACCAGTGCTGTCACATGCAAAAATTCCTTTCTGCCACTTGATGTTCTCAGTCCTCTGAGTTGAAGGACAACTAGCATTCTTTAGCAGAGTCGAATATATACTACGACAACTCTAAGATCCTTAATGCTGGCCCTAATGGATTTTTTTTTATTCAGCTAGGTTTACCAACACAATTTTACCTTTGATTTGCCTAGCTCAAGGCAAGGGACAGGAAAGATCATGCCTACATGTGCGAGATGTTTAAAGGAAACCTGTACTACAAGAATATGTAGGCTGACATTGCTAAAAGTTTCCAGACAGTGAAATAAAACATTTTGTAACATTAAGACACTGAAAGATTAAAAAGACACTTGTTTTATTTAAGTACTTGAGACAAGTTTCCTGTACATCTAAGGCATAAGTCACTAAACATTTTGCAAAAGCATACCTTAAAAAGAAAAAAAAAAAAAAAAAACAACAGTTACAGAAAAAATATTTCTTGTAAAAACTGTTGGAAAGATAAAGTGAGTATATTACATTATAGTAAGAAGGGAAATTTTTATTTTACAAACAAAAAGCTTAAAGTAAACCAGGAGAGCAAAGTGTCTAGGGACCCAGTGTTACGTAATATCACGCCTGCATGTCAAATCCAGCTATCCTATTAAGCACCCCCTGGATCCTGAAATTCAGGATGCTCTGTATATTTTGACAGCTCCCATGGTAAAGAGGCTGACCACTTGTGGTAATGGGGAATGCCCATCACCTTCACGGTGCAATAGCAAGTCACAGCTGGGGGGCAGCTTCTTAGCAAAGGAGTTGATACAAACTTGCATATCACAATGCCCAAAGTTTCAGAGGTCTTGGGACACACTATTCAAGAACCTGACCTAGGCACCTGAAGGTGCATGTCCTTGCAGAACAATGGCGCTCTTCAAACCTTGATATTACTTAGAATACATTTTAAGCATCATCAGGATGAAGTAGGCAAAATTAAGGGGTCAGTCCACCAAAAGTGATATTAGTGGACTGTGGTTATATGCTCACTAGATTTTTAGAGATTTCTGCTGTGAGAATGCACCACTTAAGCTGCCCAAACTGGCGAACTCCTACCAGCATTTTAAAAAACGTGACAATTGCAAAATGCAAATAATGGAGACTACTTTTCAATGGTTGTAGTTGGAAACTGGATAATGATGAAGTAAATTGTTTGTATGATTACTCAGACATAAAAAAAACCTAAAGGTTAAAACCCAATGAGATTTTCCCCAAAGCTCAAATGTCCATTTTTAATGGACTGACCCTTCATCTGCCTGCATATATTACAGTCTGAGGTCAAATGGTTGTTCATTTTTAAAAAGTTATTAATAAAGAGACGGCTTCACATTTTACACCAAGAGATGTAATGATGTACTGAGTACCAGGGAGAATCAGAATAAATTGTTGAGGGGCAGAGTGAGGATCATGTGTAAGTACCAAAAAAAAAAAAAAGTGTGTGTTAGAATGATAATTTCACTGTTTGTTCAATACAAAATATTCTGTAAAGCTATCACTGCAAGTTAACAGAAAACCATAGCACATTTGCCATAAAACATATTTACTTGTTTAACAAAATCTGAAAAATCTGATGCAAAAATATGTAAATACTCATTTAAGACAATTGCATACAAAAGAAAAACAAAATCCTTAAAACGTACGTATGTGACAACAATCTGTAGAGGGTTCAGACTATTTGAACACTGAAAGCTTTATGTTGGCAATTTGGAATTTTGTGAAACTTTCCATTGTCAGAATATATAGTGTGTGTATACAAATATCACATTTTGAATATACAGTAGTATTTTGTAAGTTTCTTTAAAATGACAAAACACCCGAGTCTCATTCCTGTATCTGTTTTGAAAGATACACATTAAAGCAGTACTGCAGATCAGTGAGCCACTGTTTCTTGAATTTCACAGCTCTTCAAATTCTAGAATGAAAATTAAATATATATTAACAGATAATAATCCACGTATATAATCAAAAACTCAAATATACATACTGCAGTTTACAGTGTACATTCTACGATTGTTTAGTTATTAACCTCTTGCCGTCCGCCTGCTGTTTATAAACGGCAGGGCGGTGGCAGCCCAGGGGCGGGTGGCCGTCCCTGGGAGCGCGTACCACCGCGATCCGGTGCCCGCTGTGTCCTCCGGACACAGTGAAACACCGATCGCCAGACGGGACATCTGTACGAGGTCCGCAAGAATGCACACAGAGAGAAAGAGAAATGATTGCTTTTACATCCTTTATGGGTGTAAAAGCAATCACTGTAAAAAAAAAAAAAAAATCTACATCACCCCCCACAAGTAGTATAGTGTCACCATGGTGACACTGTACTGCTAGGGTGACAGTATGTAAAAAAAAAATAAAAAAAATAAAAAAAATAATATAAAAAAAAAAAAAAAATATAAAAAAATGTTTAAAAATTATAATTTTTGGTTATAAACTAATTTGGATTTTTTTTTTTTTACTAAAAAAATAAGGAATAAATTTTGGCCAAGATTTATGATGAAATATTATTTATTTGCAAAATTTTATTTAAAAAAAAAACACTTTTTTTCAAAATTTTTGGACTTTTTCCTTTACATTAAAAAAAAACAAAAATCCCAGCAGTGAATAAATACCACCAAAATAAAGCTTTATCTGTCTCAAAAAAATGGTAAAAAATTCATATGGGTACAGTATTGCATGACCGCGCAATTGTCAAAGTGTGATAGCGCTGAAAGCTGAAAATTGCCCTGGACAGGAAGGGGGTAAAAGTGTCCGGACAGGAAGTGGTTAAAATAAAGCGGATGCTGCATGACTGAAGTGAACAGAGGTTCATTTTGCACTCGGCCTTATAAACTATATGTCTTGGCAAAATATCTACCGTATTTTCTAGCGTATAAGACGACTTTTCACACTAAAAAAAATCCCCCAAATATCGGGGGTCGTCTTAAACACCGGAAAACTGTCCATCCCGGGAGCTGAGATAATATGGAGGGCACATCTTCAACATCCCCAAGTGAACGATTGCCAATAATTAATTTATTTAATCAATAACTAATTTACCCCGCTGGATGTAGCTTCTTTATCTTCGGCTGGATGTGCCGCTGGAAGCCCTATGTAGCTTCGGCTTCAGAACGTCTCTGTGCTGACACTGTCCCGCACTGAGCCAATCACGGCAAGCCTGCTCGGATTGGCAAAGGTTGAATAGACCGCCTCTCTAACTCAGCCAATCCGAGCAGGCTTTTTATGCATACGAATTATGAATACACCGCTTGCCGTGATTGGCTCAGCGCAGTTCTTTACAGTGTCAGCACAGGGACGTTCTGTAGCCGAAGCCACAGTATTATAGAGCACATCCAGCGGCTTTAAAAGGTAAATACGATCTTATATTCTGTATGTAGCCGAATCTACAAGCATATCCAGTGGGCTAAAATGTAATAATGGGGACAGTATGTACGGCATGTTTATACACTTCTAGTAAAAAGCCTGCTCAGATTGGCCAGAGTCAGAGAGAGAGTCTATTACAACCTTTGCCAATCCAAGCAGGCTTGTTGTGATTGGCCTTCCATTTATCAATGTATGTTATGTTAGAAAAATGTCATTCAATAAAAAATGTATTTAAAAAAACAAAACTGGTGTTGCCTCGGAAGTGGGGGGTAGTCTTATACAGCGAGTATAACCCAAAACCTATGTTTTAACTGTAAAATTAGGGGGTCGTCTTATACACCCAGTCGCCTTATATGCCGCAAATACGGTATATTAAAAAAAAAAAAAAAAAAAACCCACACTCAGTACATCCCCTATAATACATGCATATTTCCCCATATTTTTTTCCTTTACAAATGCTGCAAGTGTAGAAAAATACAGGGTCTTCCAGAAATCCACTGTGTACTTTTTCTTCAGGCTGAAAAAAACTCAGCATCTACAAATAAAAGGACATTTCCCTGTCCAGGAATCCAGCAGTCATCTTCCCGACCAGTTCACTAGTTTTCGGGTCCCCAGCACCGTCATGTTTACTGTGGGAAGCCAGCTTTGACTCCTTTGCGACTTCATAGCCAGCTTTCCACTGTGCATGCATGAGTTGTGCTGTGCTTTGTGAATGGACCTGCAGCTTCCCGGGACCCCGGAGTTTGCGTGAGGGAGGAATAGTGAACTTCTGCTGGGACTGACGATTCCAGCAAAAGTGGGAGCAGGTACCTTTCAAAACTATGTACCCACAACCAAAAAAAAACTCCAAGAAAGGGGAACTTCTCTTTTTAGGCAAAGTTCTGCTTAACTCTCTGTCTGAGCAGACAATGCGGTGCATCAGCTTCACTGAAATGTCAATCAGTGTTGTAACTCCTCCCCAGTTCTCTTTTACTAAACAACAGGCCACTTTCATTTTGTCATCTCTATAACAAAAGGGAGGTAGATTGTAATCCACACAAGAAAACTGGGCAGATGCAACAACAGGGCAAGCACAATGAATGAGCAACCTACGAGCCAGAGGATCGACTGCCATATCGTTGCCACAGACAGAAGGTAGGTCCATGGCAAAGGCAGGATCAACCAGGTATTTACGAATAAAGAAAAATTTAAGCTGTGAAGCTTCTGCACACACGTTTAGTATATACCGTATTTTTCGCTCCATAAGACGCACTTTTTTCCCCCAAAAAAGGGGGGGAAAATGTCAGTGCGTCTTATGGAGCGAATATGGAGCGGCCGGTCCAGTATTTCCACCACCGCCGTGTCAGAATACCGGGCCAGCCGCTCAGCTCTGCAGCGGGACCTTATGGAGAGGACTGCTGACCTTTGGGGAGGGGGGGGAGCGGGTACCTGAATTTGACAGGTATCCGCTCTTACTTCCGCGGAGTTGTTCTTTGACCTTACCTGTTCTTCTATCCAGCGGCGCGCTGTCTTCCCGGCTTCTGTAGTGACGGCGCTGGGCTTGACAGCCGGGTGCCAAGTGCGCATGCGCAAGAAGCGGTGCTTTTTGTGAATGGTAAGGCGGTACCTGGGACACATGACAGATCCCAGAAGCTGCCGGACCAATCACAAAGCGCAAGTGCTTCTCGCTCATGCACACTGGGCACCCGGCTGTCATGCCGAGCGCCGACACTACAGAAGCCGGGAAGACAGCGTGCGGCTGGATAGAGGAACAGGTAAGATCAAAGAACAACTCCGCGGAAGAGTGGATACCTGTCAAATTCAGGTACCCGCTCCCCCCCCCTCCCCAAAGGTCAGCAGTCATCTCCTGTACTGTCCGCAGTCTCTGTCATTCCCTGTGCTGTCCGCAGTCTCTGGTCATCCCCTGTACTGTGTCTGCAGTCTCTGGTCATCCCTGTGCTGTCCGCAGTCTCTGGTCATCCCTGTGCTGTCCGCAGTCTCTGGTCATCCCTTGTACTGTGTCTGCAGTCTCTGGTCATCCCTGTGCTGTCCGCAGTCTCTGGTCATCCCTGTGCTGTCCGCAGTCTCTGGTCATCCCTTGTACTGTGTCTGCAGTCCATTAGTTCAGAATTTTTTTTTTCCTGTTTTCTGCCTCTAAAAACCTAGGTGCGTCTTATGGTCAGGTGCGTCTTATGGAGCGAAAAATATGGTACTTTTAAAGAGATGGACATAAATACAATGTTTGCGTTTAAATATAGTTGAATTCAGTTACCTCATCTGGTATGAGCCGCAATTTACTTTAACCTACCATAACATCTTGAAGGGTTTGCTGGACAAGGAATGCATTGGTCATCATATGACTCCTTAGCTGTGGATTCTGAAGCAAAAGGCGAAGCAACTGTGCAATAACAGGCAGCTCTTCCTGGCAAGCTCTGCTTACTTGCAGGTTCTGTAACATCAGCTTCAAAACATTTGGCAGCATAGAGAGTAAGGAAATGCATTCTCCCCATAAATTATCCCTGGAAAGAAAAAAATAAGAAGCGTATCCCATTTTTAATGCTTAAAAGATTTCAAACCCACTAATAGCTGCTGGAACAAGAATTCCATACGTAGCAGCAAGCTATCAAACATTTTCCTCTTTATATCATTTCCATTTAATTTCTTATAATAAAGCTGCAGCACGATTGTAAGTTGAAGAGTTCTGTAAATGTTCTGCTAGTTGAATGTTAATGTACCACTGCGTAATCCTAGACTAAAAAATACATTTATGATTACCGAGCTTTGTAATAATTTGAAACTCCACTTCTAAATTGTTCTAATAGCCCAGATGTACTAGGTCCTGAATTCCTCCTGTAACATTGTATTGTAACTGTACTGTCTGCTTTCATTGAAAGTGCTGTGCAAACTGTTAGTGCTAAATACATCCTGTACAATATTAATAATAATGTCAATTATTAAGTTGGGTTATCCTGCTGCCAGGCACTTAATCTCCTCTTAATTGGTCTGAAAATACTGAAGCTAGGTGGTCTGGTCTGAAAATTGAAGCTAGGTGGTCTGGTCTGAAAATATTGAAGCTAGGTGGTCTGGTCTGAAAATATACTGAAGCTAGGTGGTCTGGTCTGAAAATATTGAAGCTAGGTGGTCTGGTCTGAAAATACTGAAGCTAGGTAGTCTGGTCTGAAAATATTGAAGCTAGGTGGTCTGGTCTGAAAATATTGAAGCTAGGTAGTCTGTCTGAAAAACACTGAAGCTAGGTAGTCTGCTGAAAACACTGAAGCTAGGTAGTCTGGTCTGAAAATACTGAAGCTAGGTAGTCTGGTCTGAAAAATTACTGAAGCTAGGTAGTCTGGTCTGAAAATACTGAAGCTAGGTAGTCTGGTCTGAAAATACTGAAGCTAGGTAGTCTGGTCTGAAAATACTGAAGCTAGGTAGTCTGGTCTGAAAATACTGAAGCTAGGTGGTCTGGTCTGAAGATATTGAAGCTAGGTAGTCTGGGCTAAAACACTGAAGCTAGGTAGTCTGGTCTGAAAATATTGAAGCTAGGTAGTCTGGGCTGAAAATACTGAAGCTAGGTAGTCTGGGCTGAAAACACTGAAGCTAGGTAGTCTGGGCTGAAAACACTGAAGCTAGGTAGTCTGGGCTGAAAACACTGAAGCTAGGTAGTCAGGGCTGAAAATACTGAAGCAAGGTAGTCTGGTCTGAAAATTATTGAAGTTAGGTAGTCTGGTCTGAAAATACTGAAGCTAGGTGGTCTGGTCTGAAAAATTGAAGTTAGGTGGTCTGGTCTGAAAATACTGAAGCTAGGTGGTCTGGTCTGAAAATACTGAAGCTAGGTAGTCTGAAGATACAGCTGTTGCATCAAAGTGATTCTGTCATTTGTGTTTAAACAAAAATTAGGCTTGCAGCATCCCGTGAATGAAGACGCTGCATGCCAACATCTCTGGCAAGGAATGGACAAATCTTTGTTATAGGCACCTGATACTTTCCAACAATTCTGGGTATGCAGAATAGTGTCCCCCTTCACTGAGTGCTAGATCACTATGGTTCACTGTAGTGATGTAACAGTGGAGGAACCATAGCACCTAGCAGGGTATATACTATCCATGACACCCAGAAGTGTCAGATAAAAGCAGCATTGGTAACTGGAAAAACGCAAACATGTGAGTCTCTACCCACAAAAGAGCTCGGTATCCACACTCTTCATTCACAGGGTGCGGCAAGGCTGGATTTTGTTTATTTTTAAATAACCGCAGTCACTATATCACTATTGTGCTGGAATGATGAAGCAGCCCATCAGAGGGATACATGTTTTCCGACTGTGGAAGAAAACAAGGCAGTAACAGACGCAGACCCTAACAACTAATCCACTTATCAAGATATCCTGCAGAACATGAATGCAACTGTCATCTTTTCTACATATAAGGCGAGATTGCCCTGTTACTGTATATCTACACAATTTAAGAGTGTGATGGGACAGAGGAGAGGTTTGATGGGACAGGGAGAGGTTGCTTCAGATGGGCATCTAAACTCAAGTAGGGAACAGGGGCTAAATTCTTACACCCCGTAAGTTTTTCCATAGGTACCCACAGTTTAGAGGAAACAAGGAAGTGGCAGTTCAATATCCTCTGAAGCATAATTGCCTTATATTGTATATCAAGATATATTAAATATATATATAAAAAATATAAATTTATATAAAGTATATTATAAATTGTATATCTGGAAACCCTGAACCCACCATCTTGTTGGATCTCTGCAAGATAGCACATACAGTATATTAAATAGGATTCATCCAGCACCAGTAAAAATGTAAGCGGCACTCTGAGCAGGGACAGCAGAGGGGTGGGTGTGATCTATACATTAAGGCTACATTCACACTAGCCTTGTTTTCAAATGGCAGAAAGGTGTTTGTGAAGCATTTTTACCGCTTCCCAAACGCCTCGAACAATTCTCCCCATTGCAGCACATGGTGCTGTTCTAACAGGAGCGGTAGCATTGCGGTGCGTCAAAATGGACGCCTCTGGTCGAGTCAGGAGGCGTTGAAGCCTCCTGTTCTAGTCTATGGTGCCGCGGTTGCGGAGCGGTAACACCACCATTCATTATAGGTGTATGTGGGGTGTTTTTTAACGCTCGGCAAACGCCTAGCAACCGCCGCTGAACCACGCATGCGGCGTTTGCTGAGCGTTAAAAAATGCTCCGCAAACGCCGGACCAGTGCTTGCCAAACGCTATAGGGGCATTTGGCAAGAGTTAGTAAAACACTCAAGTGTGAATGAGCCCTAATACTGACAAAACAATGTCAGAACCAATCATTAATTCTCTGTGCATTTCTTTTATATCGTAGGAAACAAAGCTTTAAAGATTTGGATATTGATGCATTTACTTCAATATATCTCTAAACTTGCGAGTAAAATAATAAATTGAGTAAAATAAGTGTTGAATGTTCCACTTGAATGCATGCCTGTTTTAATATGGGTTTGTAAAGAAAAAAATGTAGGAGTCAAATTGCTAAGTAAGCACAAGCACCTAAGCTGGCCATAATAGATTGAAATTCAACTGGTTCAGTGGGACTGGCCACATTTCAATCCATGTATGGTATGGCAGTGGTTCTCATCCTTCCTAATGCCGTGACCCTTTAATACAGTTCCTCATGTTGTGGTGACCCCCAACCATAAAACTGTTTACCCAGTAATTATAATTCATGAAGTGTCGTTTTACCTCCAATACTGCTGCTTTCAACACAGTAGCGGCTTTCTACACAGTAGCTGCTTTCTACACAGTAGCTGCTTTCTACACAGTAGCTGCTTTCTACACAGTAGCTGCTTTCTACACAGTAGCTGCTTTCTACACAGTAGCTGCTTTCTACACAGTAGCTGCTCATTACACATCGGAAATATGTGTTTTCCCGATGGTCTTAGGCGACCCCTGTGAAAGGGTCATTCGACCCCCAAAGGGGTCGCGACCAACAGGTTGAGAACCACTGATGTATGGGCAGGGAGTTTGTACAAAAGTCTATCGACAGATCTGTACAACCACCCTGTCAGATTTTCCCTGCTCGATCAGCACTGCAGCCTGGAAGTCTCCCCACTGTCAGAATACAACAGCTCAGCAGGGAGGACTCCCCCCATCTACGAGTGTCCCAGATGCCATTTAAAAAAAAAAAAATAATAAGCATCTGTTTGCGCTGTCTGGGTGTGGTGATTACCTTTTCTGTATATGCTCAGCATCTTTCTCCATTGTAAGCAGGCAGTTGAAAATGCTGTAACAGTTGGAGGCCAAAAAGGTATACAGAGTCTCTGAAAGCACACAGCTTTGATCAAGAAGAGTATTTATGGCATGTAAAACTGATCCAATAGTACTGTCAGGCATGATAATTAATCCACCCTATAAAAAAAAAAAATTTAATTAGAAAGTTGCTACCTTTGAAATCAGACCCACAAATTAACAGATATTATTATACAGTATTTATATAGCGCCAAAGGGTTTGCTCAGCGCTGTACAATAGCAAGGGGGACAGAACATGAGACAAGACAGTAACAATACACTACACGAAGGGGATCGAGGGCCCTGCTCTTTCAAGCGTACAATCTAGGATATGAATAAAAATGAATGCATGCATCATTCATTTCCCTAATAGGCACACATAGTCATATGCTACATAAAATATTAGAAATTCAATAAATAAAAGTTTATTATATATATATATATATATAGATAGATAGATATTAGGTTTCTTCCAATATTTTAAAAACCAGAGAAAAGAATCCCCGTGGTAAATTCTGTAAAGCTAGGCACCATATAGCTACAAATTGTCTGCCTTGTGGAAAAAAAAAAAGTAAACTAGAGCTGAAAAATACTTTTTTACTGACCCACCGTTTATTTAAAACAATTGATAAAGTAAAAATAGGACATGTGTATCTGTTTTCTGATAAGGAATTATACAGTACATTACATATATTGAAACAAGAATTTGAGCAAGACTTACAAGATGCTTGGTGATTGCATTCTGAAGAATGTCAAAGCACTGACGTCTTGACCTCACTGAAGACAAGCTACTGCATACTGCCTGCAGAAATGTAAATGAAGCTCATTAATGCCTAGAAAGCAAAGGTTTACGTTAAAGAAAAAAATACACTTACAGTAATACCTCGGTTTAAGAATTTAATTCGTTCTGCAGGACTTTTCTTATAGTGAAAAATTCTTAAACCGAAACGCCGTTTCCCATGGGAATGCATTGAAAACCAATGAATCTGTTCCGGAGATCAGAAAAAAGTAGTGACAACCATGTGTTAATATTTCACTGTCAGCGGGGTTCCCCACTGACAGCTGAATGTAAAAGAATTGCCAGCAATTAAAAAAATTATTTAAAAAACTGCGTGGGGTCCCCCTTCCCATCCATACCAAGCGCTTTGTGTCTGGTATGGATTTTGAGGGGAACTCCTACGCCAAACTTTAAAACAAAATGGCGTGGGGGTCCTCCCCAAAATCCATACCCAGACCCTTTTCAGAGCATGCAGCCTGGCGGGTCAGGAAAGGGGGGGGGGGGGGCAAACTAAGTTTCTTCTTAGTTTCTTAAAAGAAACAACATTTCCGTTAACTTTGGGGAAAGTGACAGCCAATTCTGTGAGCTATAGTGAAGAAAAAAAAAAAAAAAAAAAAGAGACAGCAATTGCATTTAAAAATCAGCACTGACATACACTTCGTATTGCGAAAACAATTCATACAAAATTTGTAAACCGAGGCATTATTTTCAGTGGATTTTCATTTGTAAACCGAACATTACTTTTAACCGAGGCGTTCTTAAACCGAGGTATTACTGTATTTAGGACATAGCAAACGTGGTCATACATTGCTATGAAACCTTACAACCACTCTCAAGCTTATGAAACACATTTCCTTCTTTCTTGTTACCCAACATCTGTTGGGAAAAAAGCAACACAACTAAATGGGCATAAAAGAATTTAATGTAGTATTAGTTTGTCATGACTTTTGCAAAATCTTCATCTTTGATGGTACATAAAGTATATGTGAACCCTCACTTTAGAAAATAACCCAATTAGTTTAAAATAGATATGCAAGGCAAAGTGTCTTTGTATGTATCTGTGTATAGATTTCACACAAAAGGAATACAATGAGAACAGGATACTTTTTAACACAAGTACATCATACAACATACATATATCAGGAATAGGAAATGCTGGGGTAACAAACACTTTAAGAGATTTGTATTTTGTATTTTAAAAAAATCCTGATGTTCGAAATCCTGAATCACTCCTAATAACCAATTAATAATACATTAACCTCCTCGGCGGTCTGATTCTTTCCAATTTTTTGTGCTGAAAGCGGTAACATTATTTTGCATGGAAATATGTAGTTTTTTATTGTAGGCTGTAATTTTTAGGAATAACTCACTGAAATCTGTCCGAACAAGAGTCTAGTAAACATCCCGGATATAATAAAACTTGAAACATGAAATCATAAATTATAAATAATCATAAAAAATAATAATATAATAATACATTTAATTCAATAATATAATCAAACCAAAAACACTGAAATTTGAAATACAGAGGCAAATTCGCACATCGCTGAGCAAAGTCGCAAAATCGTTTTCAGTGTCTGATGACGAATTTCCCCCACGAATCATTATCACTCAATTCTGCAAGTGGTTCTGATTTACTATCGCTGTTCTAAAACCGCTTTTGACGTAAAGGGACGCTTTTTGGACGCCATGGACTTTTCTAAGTTTCCAGGCAGAAAGATTAGTCAAAATGCAGGCAGGGCGCCGGACAAAGCAGTAGGGACAAAATATATGTGAAATGGTTTGAAACAGCAATGACAGCAAAAATGCCATTTTTAAAAATTTCAAATTTCCCGCCGGTTCCGGTGCCCGTACTTCCCGACGTCACAGGGACCGGAACACAGAAGCCGGATGCCGGCATCGGCCGGGGGCGCTGCAGGGGACACATCGCGGGAGCGAAGGACAAGGTAAGTGCTGCAGGGACCCCCAGAGTAACGCCGCATGGTAAACCCGAGTGTAGCTCGGGGTTACCGCTCTTGGTATTGAAATTTTACCCCGAGCTACACTCGGGAAAACCGCTGAGGTTAAGTATACTACTATGGAGAACATTTATTTTTGAAATGATATATATTAGTCATTTTCATAACCAGGATACCAAAGACAACATCATTGTTGGAAGGATGTACTGTATGAGAAGATTTGGGTAGAAGCAACATCGTCCCTTGAGCCTCAATCAACAGAGCAGAGAACCATTAAATCCAAGACCACTACATTCCCTATAGAAGGAATGGAATGTGCTTTTTGTGAAGGAGTTCAGGCACATCAAGATCCAGAGAACAAACAAGTGAAAAAAACTGACTGCAAGATGGATGTGGATTGAATCAATGGTTGCACATCATACTAGCCAGTTTGAGCTTTGTTTTTGGATAATGTTTGCACTTTACCAGTCAAACTACACCCCTATCACTTCTATAATCATCAGCCATAGGTAATGATGAAAAAAATCAAGGTCACAGCAGCAATTAAAAATGAAGTTACTCTGTAGGACTACTAAGCCTCTACATCATGGAGACACAAGGATATCTTTAGTAGAGTGTTGCTGCTTCCTTGAATTTAGAGGAGACAGCTACACTTTTTTGGGCATCTTTGATGGATGCAAAGGAAGAACTGTCAAGGGGGCTGTACCAGGCATAGCCATATGGAAGATAACTCCAGATAACTCACATTTTGCCTAATGGAATCCTTATGAGGAGCTGAAGTCCATTGACAAATACACCGACCGGTCATAACATTTTCATAACACACCTAATATTGTGTAGGTCCCCCTTTTGCCACCCAAACTGCCTTGACCCATCGCAGCATGGATGCCACTAGGCCTCTGAAGGTATGCTGAGGTTTCTGGCACCAAGCCACCAGTAGCAGATTCTTAAGTTCTGTAAGCTGCAAGGCAGGGCCACCATGGATCGGACTTGTTTTTTTCAACACATTCCACAGATGCTCGATGAATTGAGATCTGGGGAATTTTGAGGCCAAGTCAACACCTCAAACACTTTGCTGCATTCCTCAAACCACTCTACCATTTCTGCAGTTTTGCAGGGCATGCTATCCTGCTGAAAGAGGCCACTGCCATCAGGAAATACAATTTTCATAAAGGGGAGTGCTTGGTCAGCAACAATGTTTAGGTAGATGGTACATGTCAAAGTAACATCCACATGAATGGCAGGATCAAGGTTTACCAGAAGAACATTGTCCAAAGCATCACACTGCCTCCAACGGCTTGCCTTCTTCCTATACTGCATCCTGGTGCCATCTCTTCCCCAGGTAAGCAACATTTATGCACCCAGCTATCCACATGACGTAAAAGAAAACATGATTCATCAGACCAGGCCATTGCTTCGCGGTCCACATCTACTACTTAATGGCTCTGTAATTTATTTTTGAAGAAATTAGTTTCTTATGGCTCGTTTATACTTGCTTCGAAATGTGGCATTGGACATGCTTTTTTAAAGCACTGTGGATGCCAATCAAAGCCCCTGTCTCTAAATAAAATAACCATTTTATTTTACAGTCCAGTTCACACGTTCTGCTTGATTTACTTCACTTGAAAAATTATACTCCATGTAGCTTTCATGGTGCTTCGAAGCCTCCAACAGAAGTCTATGACAAATCTCGCTTACAGCACCTGCAGCTTTTGAGAGTCTTTTGTTCAGCTTTAGCTTTGTTTGTTTTGAAGGTATGAGATATCCCACGATGTACTGGGACACCAAACAGCGCATGAGGAAGACATCATCAGCAGTGATCTCCACTTCACATATATATTTGGAAATTTAAACAGACAAAAGGTTTCCCAGCCTGCAAACAACCACATTTGCCCTGTCCAACAGTTTGCGTAAAAAACAGAGGGTTTTGTTTGCACATAGATACATAAGCCACAGTGCTTGCACCAAGGGACCTCTGTATATACTGTGGTCCTAACTCTAATTTCCAGAGTCTCCATAGTAGGATAACATATAAGAATGGATAGATTAGGGGCAGGTGTGCCTGGAGGTAGCCCACTCCTCAAAGGCCCAGGGACGCATGTGACGCCCATCAAGAACACAATGACAGCAAAGGCATCCCGTGTGTCGCTGCACCCAATTTGTCCAATCTGCTGAACCAGGGTACCAAATGCTGAACAGGTGTATTAAGGAGCTGGGAATCTGAGTGGGGGTACTACTAAGCTAGGGTTCTTACTGGGCCCCTTTAAAACAAATAGAAAATTCAACACACGTACAGGGCATCTGCCAAGCTTCGTTAAAGCTTCAAAAAAGCATCACTGAAGCATCACAAAATGATGTTGAAGTGGTAGGCATTTTAATGTGTGTTGAAGTCTTAAATAAGTCCCTTACTGTGTTTTTTTGCCTCTTTGTAACGTCCTCTATGAGCTCCTGAACCTCTAACTTCATGTATGTGTTTGTAACGAACCGTAAATGTTAGTTGTAGTCATGTGTTTGCAATACAATGCCATAGTTCATAGTCCCTAGTCCATCTTCTGAGTGAACAAGAGAGGTGGCTACATTCCTACATATAGTGGAACCATGGAAAATGAATACAGCCACCCACTAACCGGAAGTTGGATTACAGGAGAAAAAAAAAAAAAAATTTGGAGAAGACTAAGGGCAATAGAAGGCACTTTTCTGAGTGTTTATTACAGGTACTTATATAGAATCGTCAATTTACATAGCACTTTACATATACATTTGTATATTTACTTCATCCCTGGCCATTAAGCAGTTTACAATCTAAGTGTCGCTTCCTATTTTGGGGTGTGAACGCACCTGCACCCCCCACTGCCCCCTTCCCCCCCAGTTGGTCCAGGGAGAGAAGAGAGCACGCCACCAAGTAAAAGCACTACATTTTACACACAAACACCCACACACGGTCGATTAGTACATTTTAACCCTTTGATCGGCCCGTCACCCTGCCAGTGCCATTAGTACAGTGTCAGTATATAGAATTTTTCACTGATCACTGCCACTAGCGACATCAGAAAGCGTCAGGGTCAG